ATTCTCTTGCGCCTCTTGATATCCGTCTTCTTGCCATTCTTACTTAAAATGATTTTTGCATTTCAGAAATTCGGGACTTTAAATACGGATTTTGATGCACGAGAAAATAATGCATATTGGACGTGAAGAAGGGAGCAAGTTGCACGTGGGGAAAAAACGCACCTGATTTAAATGTCACACCTGAACGCTCACATCCTTTTAATTATAAAGATAGAACAATAACAAACCTGTTTGATAAAAAAAGAAACTACAAAGCACTGGAACGGAAACATAACAATAATAGACCTGTCTAATAGAAACGAAACTACAAAACATCAGAGCAAAGATAGAACAATCACAAACCTGTTTGATATGAAAAGAAACTACAAAGCACTGGAACGGAAACATAACAATAATAGACCTGTCTAATAGAAACGAAACTACAAAACATCAGAGCAAAGATAGAACAATCCCAAACCTATCTGATAGAGAAATAAACGATTATTTCATTACCGGCTTCAGTTTTTTTTTTTTTTCGTTAAATCTTTGAAGTATAAATCCTTAAAAAAACTATGCTATCTTTAGTATGACTACAAAACTAGTCATCTTCATTACACTATACTATAATTATAGTTCACGATCTAATACTTGCCACTTAGACAAAGCATGAATTTAAGTGTCCTTACTACACCACAATACTTGTACCTTTCAATATAAATGGTAGATAGCCCATTTACAGGGATAGTTGTAAGGTCATTTACTTATTAACGACCTGGATAGTGTATTTATAAGTAACTGTATAACTTCAGTCTATAAGTTATAAAATTGGTGTTTTATAAATTTTACCATTTATAAAAGGTGGATAATAGCATGGTTTGCATTAGTTTTCTGCCAAAGAGACATAAATGTTATCGGACGCTACCACCGTCCAATGGGTAAATTGGGATTTTCGGTCGGACGCCGACTGACTGGTTGTCATTTTACATGGTGGTAAATTAAGAGTATATAAAACGTTTTTATAATTTTTTTATGTGCATATCAAAGTAAATTGCAGTAACTTTGATAACTTAGTGAGCATAAAATAATTTGAAAAAAGCTTTGTGAAAAAAAAATCTTAGAAGATAAGTAGACGACTTATCTGTCTTTACTTTAATATATTTCCTTTAAATATAAGACTAACAACAGATGGGGATGCTTGGTGTTTGGGTTTTTTTTCGTACATTTAACTTGATAATGCACGGTTATCACGTCATCATTTGTACGTATAAAAAACTATACTTATTGTATTTAAATGGGTTTCTAGCGTTGTAAGGTCCGCATACTTACTAGAAATTAAGAGATGCACTTCAGATTCACACTTGTTATAAAAGAAGTTATTGAAAAGTATTGTAAGAGTCACCTATGTTTAGCAACTTCAAATCCTCGAGAATTGACGTAATATCGAAATGTGTTTTAAAATCATGTTAAAGTTATAAAAATCATTAAGTCTTTTTCGTCAAATATCGAGAGTTTTTCCTGTAGCCTAATTATGCATGGTTGATTTTAAAAGAATTGTGTAAACAATGTGCTATATTAATACAGTTAAGCATAAATTTATAACTTCGATTAGGTGAAAAAAAAAAATGTGTTTTTTTTTCAGCACCGTCTTCTCCTACTCAGCATGCATTTATCAGTGTGAACGTGACGTCAGCTACTTTACACTTTATGGAGTGGGATAGTGGAGGCTGTCCAGTGTCCTATTTTGTGATCCAGTATAAAGCAGAAGTTAGCAAGGACTGGATAGTTGTCAGTGAACGGATCTTTCCCCAAACGCTCACGTACATAATAGGTGGACTGACTCCAGCCACGTGGTACCAGCTACGTGTCGTCGCTCACAATGACGCTGGCTCAACTAGAGCTGACTACAGCTATGTTACTCTACCGTTATCAAGTAGGTGATTAAGTGACTACATAAGACCTAGGTGATTTATAAAGACACATGCATTTTAATGCTCTGAAATAGATGATATACTACTACTAGTAGCATTACTTTACTAGAACCAGTATGATCTAATATTTTGGGGCCACATTAAAGGAACCTGTACTTTTTTTTTCGTAAAATTTAACAATAAATAAACAATTATATGGTTTTCACCCAAGCTATTTTTATTCATTTTATCAAATTGTAGAAAGAATAAGAACCTATAAAATTATGTATTTATTGATAAATAAGATGATTCTTAGTATTTGTTAGCTATTACAGGTTAGTCCAGTTACATAAAATATGTATTTAATTAGTTATTACAGGTTAGCTCAGTTACATAAAACATATATTTGTTAGCTATTACATGTTTATTAAAATACGTAGAAAGAGTATGTAACAGTTACTGCCAGATTTATTTATTGTCACCCAAAGTATATTATTTACTCAAGCTCGATGATTATATTTTAAAATGAAATAAGGCAATGTGTTTTTCTCCTCTCCTTAACTCGTTAGTAGATGCTATCTTTCTTCCTTCACGACCGAAAACATCGAGGGTACCCAACTGATAAAACAACGTATTCTAATCATTATAAGTAGAAACGGCATATCTAACTAGATATAGCTATACTCGTTAGGGGGTTGATTTTTAGTTCTGTTCTATGTAAGTAGCCTTCCTTTGATCAGAAGTTAATATTGATTATTTGAACGTACTTCTAGGTCAGACGTCGTCTACGGCGACATCCAACTCCCTTCCTTTTTACACTAACCTCGCTATCATCATCCCTGTGATAGTTGCCTGTGTTATTTTGGCTGTAGTTGTCGTCATTGTATGTAGTGTTACTCGTAGAAGACAAGGAAGAAGAGGTACGTCAAGACAATCTATTAGCAAATCTTTTTATCTCTCATTCCTCTAACTCTTCTTTTTTCAAGAGAAAACAAGTTCAGAGATCTTAACTTAGCCTCATATGACAACCTTTCCATCCCAGGTATCATCCTAGTTGCTCTCCTCTGAATCCTTTCCAACAATTCAATGTCCTTCCTGATGTGAGGAATCCAAGACTGAATACAATACTCCAAATGTGGCCTTACCACTGATCTTCACAATGACATTATAACCTCTTTAGACTTTTATTCAGTATTTCTGTAGATATAAAGTAAATCCCCCTTTTTTTATATAACAGTTTTTGATAATGTATTTTTAGACACTAGAGGGATGCAGAAAGAATTCACCACGGAATCCGTTCCCATGTCTGAGGTCGAGAGTAAGCCTACAACAGACTGTGTTTACAGCAGACCTAAAAGTTGTCTCAACTACCCGTCCCCCTATGCTTCTAACTGTGTTCCGTTCGACCATCGTCATAACTTGAGGAGTGAAGACAGCAGAATCGAAAGGCACTCTACAGTTGACAGCAAAAGGATTTATGACGTTCCTTTTGCTATGAGAGAGGTGAGTGAAAAAGTTATATTTTACCACATAAAAAACATCAAACACTGGCTTAACTTCGTCTTAGTTTTCAGTATGAGATTTTCTGAAGATCACGAGATTGCTCAAGTACTGGTAAAATAATCTATATATTTCGTGTAACATTTTTTAAGATGTAAGATTTTCCGTTAAGATCATAAACAGGCATTTTCATAACTTAATTAAGTGAAAAAAAGACAATATATAAATTGTGCAGTTAAAGATGATTAAGGTATCGAAATTAACTGAATGGAAAAATGTATTAATGGGCTCTAATCGCCATATACCTATAACGAAATTTGTTGTTATCGCAAAATAATTGGTGGCATACAATGACACAGAATCCAGCCTGAAAAGATTATTTTCATGAATCATCCTTTTTTTTTTGGAAAATAATGCATTTCATTTGGTTTGCTTTTAGTACATTTTACAGAAAATTGTTTATTTCATTTTTGTTATTACATTTTTTCTATAAGCAATTTCAAGAAATCATGAAAAAATAACCATGGGTAACCTCACGTGACACTTGTTCTTCATTAGCCCGCCCACTCCAGTGGACTTGATTACAGAGAGAGGAGAAATAGCCCTGTACATGAAACCAGCCGAGCACACTCGCATGACAGCAACTCTATGTACAGTTTCCCAGGTATACAGTAGGCAAAATATGATTTTTGTTTAATATAAGCAGTTTCAAGTTCTATTGTGTCTTTGAATAATTTAACCTGCATTTAGCGAGTGATAATATTTATGCATATCAAAGATATTTCGTGGTTTCCAATTAACTGAAAATGTCAGTGCTTTATCGGTTTTACTTTATTGTCGGGTTTTGATGTCCAGTTTAAAAAAGTTGTTATCTAATGCGAAAACTCGTGGTCTGCGTTATTCAAATTCAATCATCCAATATTCATTCATTAACCAAACTACTACGTGAACATGGAATACGTAAATGATTTTGATTGAGGACTCGGCTAGTAATCGCCAAGTAAGAACAAGTACAGTAAATGTTTAGTTTTCATTTAGTAAATACTTAATACTTGTTAAGTAAAGACAAGCGTGGATATATAGATTCCAACATTATATTATTTCATTACCAAAAGACTTAAACGAATTAGAGATTGCTGTAACATATTAGTGATATCTCATGAAAAATAATGTTTTACAGGGTATCAACATCGGAAAATGTTGGTATACGGTCGTTCAGAATTGGAATAATAAATTACTTTCAAACATCAACAATGTGGTGTAACTTTTAAAACGGAATGTCTTGGTAGTAAATAGGTTACACTAAGTGGCTGGTTTTTCAATATTTGTGAGTCTCGAGGCAGCTGATGACCCTTGGGGCACCTTAAATGCTGATGCATTATCGGTGATTCTCGGACAGATTTACGTGGTGGAGCCCATCTACTCTCCAGATGGCCGTCCCTAATTTAGCAGTGAAAGACTAGAGGGAAGGTCAATACCACCTACCACCAACTCTTAGGATACTCTTTTACCAACGAATTGACCTTTATGTTATAACGCCCCCACTGCTGACAGGGCGAGCATGTTCGACGACGGGGATTCGAAACCGCGACCCGCAGATTGCGAGTCGAACGTCCGAACCACCAGGCCAGTTTTTAGTAATTAGTATGCACAGGGAACAATATATTGTTTATTCAGCAATCAGCCACCAATAAAATGGGCGTAGTTCATAATTACAGTTTCACTAAACATAATATTAGCAAATAAAGTCGGCCATTCTACTCATTGTTTTACATACATAATTAGTTGTTCCCCGGCAAGTCTCAGGGCCTACAATGCTAAATTCCTGAGTTCGATTCATATAGCCCTTTGTGTAACTTTGCCCCTAAAAAACACAATAACCAACTCACCATAAATTAATTAGTAATCAGAAAGTAATGTCAAGCAATATACTAAGTATCGGTTAATCTTTCATATATTAATTGACCAAGTAAAGATGTACTTTCCGTATTTAATGTATTTGTATGACATTATGGAGTAGTAAAATTAAGAAATAATATAAATTTACTATTAACAGTTAACACATCGAACTTTTAAGCTAATTTCCCCTAAAGGGGGCCGAACGCCGCCTGAAGGGGTCTCCTGTTTTAACCATTCGCACTATTATACAGTATTATGTTGTCTGTCAGTCAGTAGACACTAAAATGACGTCACATAAGGAATGCTTAACGTTGAAATTTGTGCTGTCCTGACGTCAGTAAAACGTGCGCATGCCATGAATCACGAGAATAATTATGCACTCTGTAGGCTACAACACAGCATGACATAAGAACTTCAAAAGCAAGTAATAAAAATATTTGTTACTCTTAATTTTGAAACAAAACACTATCGGGGGGACCCTGCGGAAGTTGTTGTTGTTTGTTATTAAGCTCAAAGCTACACAAAAGGCTATCTGTGCTCTGCCCACCATATAATCTTTCTGAGTTAAGTTTTTGTGAATCTGATATTGCAATAGTTTATTTTTTGTTTCGATATATTTACAATTTTCTGAACAATTTTATTACACACTATCGTTTGTTTGCTTGTTGTTAAACACAGAGCTAGAATATATTATCTGTGCGGTGCCCACAACGAGTATTGAAACGGTTTTTAGCATTATAAGTTTTCAGACTTACTGCTGAGCTACTAGGGGATACTTGCTATCGAATTGTTTTGTATAAACAAAATGAATCAACTGTTCCTTTTTCGTTTAAATTTTTTGTTTCCTGTAGCTTTTTTAACTTTTTTAAACATCTTTTTTCCGTCTTAACATGATAAAACCATAACATGACACGAAAATACATAAAAATAAATATAAAGAGTTAACCGCATAGACAACACAGATATTGAAATTAAAGAATGGGTTAAAAATCGTCAAGTTTGCTATATTTTATTTCAAGAAGATGACGTTTCGAGCTAGCGCTCTTCGTTAAATCGTACAGCGTACAAGAGAAGAGTTTGGGCAGAATTTAAAAATTGCGTGCGTAGTATTTAGAACGTTGAACGTCAAATTTCTCTGCAAAATTACACCTTTTACATAAATATTACAAGTCATAAAAAAGATAACAAAAACAGATTGAAATTAAAATTGAAACGAAATATGGAAAAAATGAGAAGCTATAGGAAAGGTTTGTTTGTAATTAAGCACAAAGCTACACAATGGGCTATCTGTGCTCTGCCCACCACGGGTATCGAAACCCGGATTCTAGCGTTGTAAGTCCGCAGAAATACCGCTGTGCCACTGGGTGACTATAGGAAAGAAAAGCGTTCATTTAAACCAGATGGTTGTAGGATTCCCAGATTGTAGATTAATCTCTTTTCTAGTCGTTCTCTATTATGAATATCTGTTGGAGCACTAATAAGACCCACAATCGAAAAGACATCAACTGTACAGTTGTTGATAGTGAAATGTTTGCCTGTAGGTGTCTCTTGAATTCCCAGTTTAATATGGTTTAGATGTTCTCGATCGCCTAGTCGACGGCTTGTTTGTCCAAAGTATTTAAACTATTGCATTTTTTGCAAATTATATAGTAAATGATAAATTCAGAGGCACGTGTAAAGGACTACCTTATGTTGAAAGTTGTGTTTTTTCCCCTTGTATATCTGTGTTTCTGTTTATATGTACACAGGTGACACACCTGTTTCCGTGATATGTTTGAGTGCCTGAAGTGTCATTTTGTTTTTTTGCCTAAATTTACTGTGCACCACGATTTTTTAAGGTTTTTGTTATGCCTGTAAGAAATAATGAGAACAGATTTAGTGGGAGGGCTTTCAGCAAGTATTGTGTAATTGTTTAGTATAATATCTCAACAGCACCCACTGCCAACTCTTGGGCCACTCTAATGTAATTTGACTGTCACTCTTATAATGCACCCATGACTCCAAAATGCGAAGCACTATATTGCGGCAAAGGATCTGTTTGTTTGTTTGAAGTTAAGCACAAAGCTACACAATGGGCTATCTGTGTTCTGCCCACCACGGTTATCGAAACCCGGTTTCTAGCGTTTTAAGTCCGCAGACATGCCGCTGTGCCACTGGGGGGCGCGCCAAAGGAAGTGAGCTCAGATTCATAGTCCGGCACGCTAAACAATTCAGACTCTTATTATGTCACGCACATTGCCCTGAGTGGATCCAAACTAACGGTGTTTATATATTTTCGTAATTAAAGAATAGGTTAAACGACCGCCAAATTTTTCTATATTTTTATTTTGAGAGGATGATGTTTCGAGCTAGCGCTCTTCATCAGATCGTACGGCTTACTACAAAAGCGCATGTGCAGAATTTCAATATTGCGTGCATAGTATCTAGAACGTAGAGCGTGAAATTTCTCTGTAAAATTACATCTTTAACATAATTATTACAAGTAATAAAAATATCGCATTCTTCTTGTGTTAACATACCATCAGACCAACAAGAATATCAAATTAGAGTGGCCCAAGAGTTGACAGTGGGTGCTGTTGATTAGAGTGGCCCAAGAGTTGACAGTGGGTGCTGTTGATTAGAGTGGCCCAAGAGTTGGCAGCGGGTGCTGTTGATTAGAGTGGCCCAAGAGTTGGCAGTAGGTGCTGTTGATTATCAGTTTTCCATGTAGTCTGTCAATTCAAAATTAGAAAAGGCTAGCGCAGGTAGCCCTCGTGGAAATTTGCGCGCACATCCCAAACAAACAAATTTTAATAAAGTACCCTGGTAATTCAAGGGGTAGGCTTGAGAGTTAAAAAGCACAAAAATTATTGGCTCGATCCTTGCGTTTGTCTCCACACGATAGCTCACTGTGTAGCTTTTCCCCTACAAACAAACAAACCAAGTAAATAATAATACACAGAATTGAATATATTATACAGACAACTACTACTTTGATTCAAATATTTTTCAGGGGAAATACTGAACTCAATGTCTCTGTTTATCTCACCCATGCAGCAGGAAGGCCAATTTCCCAGCCTATGTTACGAAATTACACGACCCACTTATCTCATTCCTGGTGTAACAGCGATATGGATGACAACTTGACAGTTAACTTGCCCTACGAGAAGACGTCATATGCCACTAGGTGGCACGGAAGTTCTAAACAAGGTGCAGACATTGCTCAGTTCTATTGGAATGGGTAAGAGGGCTGTAGTCGTCGGGTAAAAACAACTCACAATTTTTGTCAGCTCAAGGAAAAGGAATAATACGATGTCATTTTTAAACTTTAAGAATAATTTTAAACATTTAAGGGACAGGTCAATTAAATGTTGACAAAGTCCAAATATTATGAAGTGCTTCTGTTAATTACTGTCTTTGTAGAGGAACTTTACTCATTTTTTTCACCTGAATTCAGAAAATGTTTAAATTGTCGATTGTTTTATTAAAGAATATATTGATTACAGAGAGTTTGTAAGTGTTGTCATGTTAGTTTTTACTAAGATATAAAGACGTTTAAATATCGCATTTGTGTCGTTGAAAAGGAGAACCTTCAAATTGTAAAGCATTAAACCAACTTCTTAATACCGGATTTTACAACCTAATAAATTTTAAACTCCGATCATTTCACTCTTTGACACACCAAATGCGAACTGCCTGTTAGGAAATGACTAAACATCACACGAATCGTTCTAGAAACGAATAAAAAAAAAAGTGTGTCTGAAAATATTGTAATCGGTTATTACCCAGACGAACAACGTGTGTGTGGGTGCATAGTGAACCTTATAAATTATTCTGAGAGCACTCTACGAAACATTAATATAGCCTAACGGTTAGCATGTCGGGCTGCGGAGCTAAAGGTCCAGGATTCGAGACACTCTGCACTTTCAGCTGTGGGTGCGTTGTAGTTGCGACAGCTAAGCCCGTTATTCACTTCAAGAGTCGAAAATAATTCTGTGCCAGTACAGGAACATCTATGCCTGAATCCTAGGAGTCTCTGACCTGGGCATTTAGCCCACGTGAGCATTAAAGTACCATTCAGGTTCAAAATGCCAGTTCCAGCTAAGTGAATGATTCAGCTAAGTGTGAATACAATGTTCCGCGAAGGTTGTGTGTATACGTATAAAAACGCAGAATTAGTAGAATTATTTCATGTTTTAATTTATACTACTGTGTATCCTTTATATTAGGTTTGGAGACTAGGGTCAGCAGGAATCTAGAGACTAAGAGTTAAAGAAGTTACCTTAATTTATTTTACGTACACGTAGATGGAAATTAGATACTTCTGTAACATCAAAGTGCTGTATTTAAACTTAGCTTGTCTAAACTTGATAATTCCAGATACATTATAGGAAACTAAAGATCGAAACTAGATATTTTTGTAACATCGACTCTATTTAACTTATGTTGTCTATATAAACTTGATAAATCTAGATCCACTAAGAAGACACAGACTGAAACTAAGTACTTCTGTAACATCTACGTGTCTAATTTTTGACTTAGTTTGTCTAAACTTGATAACTCTAGATCCATAAGAGAACTACAGACCGAAACAAGATATTTTGTAACATTTACGTGTTTTATTCAAATTAGCTTGTTTATATAAACTTGATAACTTTATATCTATTAGAGAACCAGAATTAAAAACTAGATACTTCTGTAATATCTACGTCCATTATTTAACTTAGCTTATCTAGCCTCGATAACTCTGAATCCTTTAGAGAACCACTGATCGAAACAAGATATTTTTGTAACATTTATGTGCTCTATTAAAATTAGCTTAACGATAGAAACTAAATACCTCTGTAACATCTAGATGCACTATTTAACTTGGTTTGTCTAAGTCTTATACCTCTAGATTCTCTAGGGAACCAAAACTAGATAATTCCGTAACATCTACGTTCTTTATTTAACTTCGTTTGTCTAAGCTTGATAACTCTATAGGTTCGCCAGAGAATCAGAGATGGAAACTAAATGGTGTAACACCTAAATCATTAAATGCTATATCTAACCAAACCTGTTATTTACAGATACACTAGCGATCCGAAGGTCGAAGCTAGGTACTTCCACGCCCCCAGAATACCTGACCTAGCGTTTGATGAAGACGACGATGAGACAGAATTTGATAGGGACCAAGTATTAAACTCTTGCCCTGGTAAGTGAAATATTGATTAAACTCAAATATTTTGTAACGGTCTAAAATAAACATGCCGCTACAGTCGCCCCGGTGGGACAGAGGAAAGTCTTCGGATTTATAACCCCAAAATCAGGGGTTCGACACAGCAGATAGCCCGATGTGGCTTTGGTATAAGAAAACACACGCTATAGTCAGGGTTCAACAACAAAAAAGCAATTTATTCAACTATAACAACACTTACAAATGAATTCAACACTTACCAAAACACAGTTAATAAACACATGCTTGGCCAGGACTTGACACTAATGTTAATGAACAATATATCATAAATATCAATATTATTTCAAGGTATAGAATCAGGAAAAAAAGAGACAGAAAAAAAAACACCTAATTCCAAAAATATACAGCAACACAAAAATTCCTTTCCATATTAATAACAATATCGATTTATAAACAGCAATAAATAATTCACTAACTGTATTATTCACTATCTATCTCATGACACTCTCTCTTAGCGAAGCTTCTGGCAGGGTATTTATTCACTGAGGAGGTCACGAGAGTACACCTCATATGATCTTAAATTTATATAATCTTCTGCTAATGATAGTATCTGTACGTCACTGCTAGGGAAGCTGGTGTCAGTTTCATTATACACACATATTTACTCAAAATACAAATGATTAGCTAGAAGGTGAGTTAGCGTTTTAATGATACTAAAAATTCACAGATGACTAAACGATAGAAGGAAATATTAAATGAATGATAATCATAACCATAAAAATGTTTAATTTACTATCTCACAATTTATCAAACGGCTAGTGTGGTTATATTGTTGGAAGCAAAGCTCTTAGTAACACTGACACTTGAATATTATATACAAGTTATATATTAGGTCGTCAAGAAATTAATGTCGCAAATTGGAACACTTTCATTAACTACTCCCCAAAAATAATAGTTAAACGAAGTGCATAAACGTCACGTTAGTGTAGCCTATATAATGTGTAAAGTTTGGTATACTCTAATCCTTTACAGTGATAGAACA